GTTTGGGTTTTTGCACCGCGTGGGACCACGGCGATTTTGCAGGCGCCGCCGCCTCACATCAAATCCGTGAATTTTGAGCTTCACATACCCAAAACTCGGATGCAACAAGAAATGTTGAGAATGATATTCGATGTGTCAAACTTATCAGAAGGGACAACTGTAAAAAATCGGTCGAATTGACGTTTTCTGGTGGTGCCGATTGTTGTTAACACATGTATGTTCTCTCATTTTGCTTTTTGCTTGCCAGTGAACCTCAAATTATAATTTTGAGGGCCTGGACTAAGTCTTACCATTCATTCTTTGCCTGCAGAGACAATTGCAAAGAATAACCACCCACACTGAATAGGCGGGTGAATGTTCGGCGGAGTTCATACAGGGAGAAGTGCACAAGTTGTGGAATTGTACCTTCCACGGTCTGCAAAATGTATAATGTACTCTTCTAAACATTGATGCTAAAGCTGCACAAGGTGATTAGTGATCTATTGTAGCAATCGGATCAGAAGGCAATTTCCCACCTCCAGATTAAGTCTGCACGGCGCAATTGCTGCTATGTCACCTAAGCCTACCGCCACCATAGGGGTTCCAAATCAGCTCTCTTCCGTTCTTCCTCCAAAAACGTCACCGTTAGCAGCGGCAAGATGCTAGTACTAGGAGCGAGACTCTGACACGATAATAAGGGCATTGCGATACGCCATGTCTGACGTGACGCCTACCTTCGGCAGGCGTGTTACAGAAGTACCCTAATTTCCGGTAGATAAGCCCGCGCCGATTTCACGTAAAACCACCCCCGCTCGTGCAGTGTAACTTTGTACACCTTAGAAACTACCGCAAATTTGCCTATAGAGGTAAGTCGATGCCCTGATTACGAAAATGACTTTCATTTTTGGCGCTGGCGCCACCTTGTCACGACTTTCACCAAATTCGGTGTAAACTTCCGTATAGGGTTATTTGGTGTCCTGATTACGAATATGACATTCATTCTCGGCGCTGGCGCTATTTGGCGCCTATTTTCTGCTCGTCTGCGCTCTCCAACCGAGAAATATGCGTTGAACAACGTTAATGCCAAAAACGAATGTCATATTCGTAATCAGGGCACCAAATAACCCCTATACAGAAGTTTACACCGATTTTGGTGAAAACAAGGGTCGTGACAAGGTGACGCCAACTGGCTGTAGCAGATTAAAGAAGAGTAATTAAAGAAGAGTAATGAGACAATAAGAAGTGACAGAGTTACGTTGAGAATTCATCAGGACCCCGTCTGGCCTCACTGAGTATTTGACCGATTTGTTTCCTGCAATACTGGAATACTGATTAATTACTCTTCTTTAATCAGTATTCCAATATTGCAGGGAACAAATCGGTCAAATACTCAGTGAGGTAGAAGGGATGGGAATGAACTATTATATCACTGCGCATTCACCAGCCCTAGAGCTGTAATGAAACCAACTGCACTGAGTATCGGAGCCGGCACCAAATTATGCGGTCTTCTTCTCAGGACTCATTTGATGGTAGAATTTCGTGATGACTGGAACTCCAAGGGTGATGAAGGTAGTGAAGCATGATTAATATGTCAGATTGGTGCAATTTTGAAGAACCAAAGGCAATGAAATACGCGCACTGAAATCAAGTGAATAGAGCTTGAACAAGAACAGAATCGGGAAGGCGATGTTTCATTGACACTTAATGTCATTAGATGACGAGTCCAGGGTGAGAATGGAAAATGTTGTAGAGTTCCAAGCATTTGGGCGGAGCGTCCGTCTATAAGAATAAATTGCAGCTCCTGAAGGCGATTGTCACAAGTCTGGAATCAGCTCCGTCCTTCATCTCACCTCGGCTACAGTATGAAGGTTATTACCTCTGGATTACAGTACGGTAAGTCACTATTTGCTATCTATGACAGTAATATTTCAAAAGCCTGCAGTTCAGTGTTTGAGAAATCTGGATGTTACTTTAGTTATCGTTATCGGTTTCATCTTGTGCTACGTCGAAGTGGTCGAAGTGTCAGGACAGGCCTCGGTCGAGCGGTGGTAAGGATAGTGAAGCGATTTCAACCATAACAACAAGGTGTGGCAAAAGTATTGAGTGCTGTAGAAAAAGCCACAGAACGATTTGGGTAATGGTCATCTGCTACGGATGGCAGCTGTTTTCCCTTCCCGTCTCTCGTTGTGTCCATCTAAAGGCGACAGTATCGAATTTTGAGGTATTATACCATTTGTTAAGTTGTTGCCTCGACTTGGAGAAAAAATGGTGGTACTTTCCTCCTCCTCGAAAGGCTTTGACAAGAGTTAAATACTTTTGCCGCATCATGTATGATTTCACAAGCACCACCGAATTAAACTCAGACGTTAAGTACAGGTTTAGTGCCTACTGGAAACGTCCACGTCTCCTCCACCATTCCAGAAGGCGAGTCCGGAGGGAAGCCTGAGCCACGCGAGCTGCCTGGTTCTGGCACAAATGGGAGGCCACCACAAGAATATAATCAGAATCCATCAGGAAACGATACTTCCCCAAGGAAGGCCTGGTAACACGACAGACGAACCCGGAGGAAAGTCTGATCCACCCGAACGGCTGGTTCTGGCTTAAATGGAAGTTTACCGCAAGAGTCTAAAGTGAATTCATCCGAAGTGGATCCTTCTCAAGGAAAGTCTGGTAAGTTATAGTGTAATAGCTTTTGCAGGAATAATCGTTGAAAATATGTTGTGTACTGGCATTTTTAGGAGGAGCAACCGACGGAGTCCCTTCATCGGATAATTCGGCATCGACAATCGCTCTCTCGTTCCTAACTCTGCTCATTCTCTCGGGACTTGCTGCTTAGATTGGGAATACAATTACCATGTGGTTACTGTTAAAATGTTAAAATTACCGCAGCTATTCTGCAGTTATATCTATAGGATTCGGTTATTTCGTATTGCTTGTATAAACGAACTCTGTCCTCAAGATTGTATTTGCTTTGTTTTGATAAGAAAAATTTGATCAAAAAGTTT